CGTTACATTACTACGAGTTATACGTCCAGTAAAAATTAAAAAAATAGTGAGTTCATTTGTCTACGAGAAAGAAAATATGTGAATACAACAAATTTATTAAACGAATGAAGGGGAAACGATGGATTTAATTACGAAATTTTATCACATTTTTCAAGTGAATGAAACATTCATCAATACTTTAAAATAAATGCTAAAAGATTTAAAAACCTGAAGTGCTAATTTAGAACTTTGGGATGTTATGTACTCTCTAGGACCTTCNTAGAACTTTGGGGTGTTATGTACTCTCTAGGACCTCCGTATGTGTGCCAAATATAAACTATGCGTTTTATTAATTTTGTAGTTAGACTATTGCAAAACTCCGTTCAATTTATATATATTATCATGCGAAATTTTTAAAACGCTGTCGGCTTTCCTTTGATATAGTCCACTTAATGATCTGATTCAAAATTTTGTCGCGTGGCGATAATGCTCCGTCTTGATGTTACATGTTTTTATTGTACTTTTTACATAATCGTACATCTGATGAAAGCACAATAATTAGTTGTAGACTATCTGTATTTTTTGTTCTATTCATTATTATATGACAGGTTTTATAAAAACACGGTAATTGGTTAAGTGTAAATTGATAAATTGATCAAAATTGAAATCATAATTGAAATCATAATTTATACAATTAAGTCGTTTGTATACTAAGTAAAACACAATAACGAGTGTATCACTATATTGTGTTAATTAACATTTTACTGAATTATTACAAATTAATAATATTATAAAATAAATATAATGTATTTTGTTGTTTTAATAATAATGGGCTATAATGTACGGTTAACACTTATATTCATTTAATTTTTATTTTCGTCTATGTTAGAATAAAGAAAAATAAATAATACAGTTAAAATTGTATTAAACATATTTATTATAAGCTATTGAAATAATAAAAGACAAATTATAATTTTTAATATTTTATATTAATAGCCTTTACTATATTGGNAACTCTATATGCTATTCCAAAGTCAAATTTGAAGTTCCCAAACCAAATAATAACCCGATTCAGTGCCTTCGGTGTCAAAATTTTGGTCATTCAAAAAGGTACTGTAACCACGAGCCCCGTTGCGTCAAATGCGACGGCTCACACTTGACCGAAGCGTGTCTAAAACCTGTAGATCAGCCACCCAAATGCACCTTGTGTGGAGGAGCCCACCCAGCGAATTATCGCGGTTGTCCTGCTTATAAAAATGAACAGCAGCGAAGAATCGTTAATTTAAAACAAAGAAAGGATATCCATTTAAATCATAATTTTATTAAGCTTAATGAAAATAATTTAAATAATGTCAATACTGTAAATAATGTAAATAATGTAAATAATAATGTACAAGTCCCCATTGGTAACACCCAGTCACCAAACACTAAAAAACATAGTTCCTACGCATACGTAACTCAACACCACAACTCGGAAAATAATACCCAAAATCACATGACGACCAATACAGACTCTAATGACCTTACTAAACAGTTTTCTTCATTCCTAACAGACCTTAAATCTGTAATTAATCCTCTAATAACACTACTAACAACTGTTATTAATAAAATTCTATTAAAAAATGACTAACAATAACATTACTCAAAAACATGATCTCAAAGTACTCTTATGGAATGCTAACGGCTTACTACAACACAAAGACGAACTTCAAACTGTACTTAATGAAAAACAAATTGACATAGCACTTATAAGCGAAACGCACTTTACTGAAAAATCTAACTTTAACATTTTTAACTATACTTTATACAAAACCAATCATCCGGACGGGACCGCTCGCGGCGGCTCTGCGATATTAATATCAAATGACATACATCATAGTGAAAAAATTGCATATCAAAAGCACTGTATCCAAGCGACTTGTGTGTTAATACATATAAATAGTATTCCGACTACTATCTCCGCTGTCTACTGTCCCCCTTGTTATAATATTCGTCAGGATGACTTTCTACAATTTTTTGATACCCAAGGTCACTCATTCATTGCTGGTGGTGATTACAACTCAAAACATTCTTTGTGGGGTAGTGTCTCAAACAACCAAAGAGGCAAATCTCTTCACTCAGTTTTAACTAATCAACACTACTCATATATCTCCCCTCCTGGACCAACGTATTGGCCAACCCATGCCAATAGACATCCTGACATATTGGACTTTTTTGTATCAAAATTGTCTAATCAGATAAACATAAAAGTAGAAAATAGTACTGACCTTTCCGGTGATCATTCGCCTGTCATACTCACCATTGGTGGTGAAGTATCAGTCACTTCCAGGCCATCCCTTACAAATGGACCCATTAACTGGGAAAAATTTAAAATTTGTATGGATAATAATATCAATCTTACTATTTCACTGAAAACGTTAGCAGACATTGACCAAGCTGCCCATAATTTCATCCAATTGATAAAAGACTCTGCCAATGCCGCATCATCTAATACAAAGTCACCAAAAAGCACTTCAAACAAAGAACTCCCTCTTCATATAAAATTATTAATTAATGAAAAGAGACGCGCTAGAGCAAAATGGCAAAATACACATTATGACTGCGATAAGCACATTTATAACAACTTAACTAATAATTTAAAAAAACAACTGAAAAATTTCAAGGCTGAGCAATATGAAAGTTACCTAACCTCGCTTAATCCTATGGATAACTCTTTATGGAAAGCCACAAAACGACTTACCAAGATCAAAGAGCGAATTCCTCCTCTCCGTAAAGAAGATGGTTCATTGGCTGTATCAGAAAAAGAAAAAGCAGTGCTATTCGCTGAACATCTAGCTAAAACATTCAAACCTCACCATGATATTATACCTGATTCAAGTCACATACATATAGTTAATAAATTTCTTGTATCACCCCTACCAATGGCGCTCCCTATTAAGCCTATAAGCCCCGGTGAAACTGAAGCAATAATAAAAATATTACCAAAAGGCAAAGCTCCTGGAAACGACCTTATAACCAACAAGGTATTATCAAATCTATCAAAAAAAAGCATACTGCTACTTACATACATTTATAACGCTATGCTTCGACTGTCTTATTTCCCTTCTATTTGGAAAGTAGCANACGGTGTTTTTTTATTTGTATTTTTTCATCACAAGTCTTAATGATTTTTTTTTTTTGACTCAAATGTTTTTAGAGAATTTTTGATATTTTTGTTATTATGCAATTTAATCCAAATAAATGATTTTTTTCCATCAACAATTTTAAATTAATATTCATTATTTCCAAAAATTGCCAAGTTTATTTAAATAGTCTTAATGCTATTGTTTAGTTCTATTTTTTTTTTTTAAGAATAATTCATATTTGATAATTTGAAGTAGAATAATCTTGAGAATATTATAGTTTTCGAGTAAATTTTATCAAGAATATTCTTTCGTTACATTACTACGAGTTATACGTCCAGTAAAAATTAAAAAAATAGTGAGTTCATTTGTCTACGAGAAAGAAAATATGTGAATACAACAAATTTATTAAACGAATGAAGGGGAAACGATGGATTTAATTACGAAATTTTATCACATTTTTCAAGTGAATGAAACATTCATCAATACTTTAAAATAAATGCTAAAAGATTTAAAAACCTGAAGTGCTAATTTAGAACTTTGGGGTGTTATGTACTCTCTAGGACCTCCGTATGTGTGCCAAATATAAACTATGCGTTTTATTAATTTTGTAGTTAGACTATTGCAAAACTCCGTTCAATTTATATATATTATCATGCGAAATTTTTAAAACGCTGTCGGCTTTCCTTTGATATAGTCCACTTAATGATCTGATTCAAAATTTTGTCGCGTGGCGATAATGCTCCGTCTTGATGTTACATGTTTTTATTGTACTTTTTACATAATCGTACATCTGATGAAAGCACAATAATTAGTTGTAGACTATCTGTATTTTTTGTTCTATTCATTATTATATGACAGGTTTTATAAAAACACGGTAATTGGTTAAGTGTAAATTGATAAATTGATCAAAATTGAAATCATAATTGAAATCATAATTTATACAATTAAGTCGTTTGTATACTAAGTAAAACACAATAACGAGTGTATCACTATATTGTGTTAATTAACATTTTACTGAATTATTACAAATTAATAATATTATAAAATAAATATAATGTATTTTGTTGTTTTAATAATAATGGGCTATAATGTACGGTTAACACTTATATTCATTTAATTTTTATTTTCGTCTATGTTAGAATAAAGAAAAATAAATAATACAGTTAAAATTGTATTAAACATATTTATTATAAGCTATTGAAATAATAAAAGACAAATTATAATTTTTAATATTTTATTCTCAAACATTGCCTACCATAAAGAAAATAGCATAAAAATTTTATTTTATTTCATTTGTGAATAAATAATTAAATAACCTTAAATATAAACGCAAAATGAATTCTAAAACTATACTCAATTAGGTAGATTTTTCAACATATTTGTAGTACAGTTAATACAATTTTTAAGGCCATTTTAGAAACTGGTTTGGTCATTGTACAATGTATATCGTATTAAATGCATAATAATAACCAATGTGTGTAATATGAAATTCATATAACATATTAAAACAAAATAATGCCATAAAAATGTTTACATTTAATTGTTACATTTTTTTATTTTAGTTCAACTTTACTCTTCGTTTAAATAATAATATATAAATAGTAGTTAACTTATTGTTACTCATTTATCATTGATGTGCGCAATTTTTCTATTTTACGATAAGTTATCAGGTATTTTTTTCAAGTTTTAAATGAGTATTTGAATATCATTTTGTAACGTTCAAAAACATTACAATTTTCTATCTCTGATCTTCTAACTATAATTGGCCCGTCATATTTGCTAAATGTTTGTGAATAAATATTTACACCTTGAACTCGTATTTTAATCACACTAGTTTACTCCAAGGCCAAATAACTTGGAATATTTATTTATTCTTGTAGAATACTACAAGCATTTATTTTAGTGGTAGTATAGTGCGCGTAATGATACGATTAAGTGTAGACATTAAGACGATATAAACAGTAAATAGGCTTACTTTCTTTTAATTATTATTGAATAAAATGTAAAACCGTAAACATTATGAACTGATATAAGTATATCGTATACTTAATATTGCAGTTGACTTAATTAATTATACTGGACGCGTTAAATAAATAGTTTGCTTAATGATATGTGTATAGTTATAATAATAAAAAGATACAAAAATAATTTGATAAACGATAATAAAATAATTTTAAATAAGTGCAACGACTAACTTCAATATGAACTACACTTCGATACTTCTAATTACCAATATATTACTACTGATAACAATTGATTTTTCTCAAGTATTTTTTTAGAGGGTAAGTTAAAATAAAAGTCTTTTACAAATTTTACAAGATTTATATCAAATTGAAATTTTGTTATTTTTTACCATTATTTTTAAATATTTGCTTTTAGTTTGCTAATTATATTCCATACAACGTGTTAAAATGAATACCTTATTTATTCATTTTAAACATTTGTTGTAATAAACGATTTTACATTTTATTACAATTATTATTTACCTTTCTTTCTCCATAAAATTTTTTTGTCAGTTTACTTGTAAGAACTAATAAAATGTTTAATTAAGAGTGATAAATTTCTAGTTTAATTTAATTATAAATTATAAACAAGTTACGTGTATGCTAGCTGCAACAATTAAGCTGAGGGCCGTGAGCTGATCGTATCCCTCTTCTCCTTACCATAATTTAAAAAATAGTGGTTCCCACGCTATGTATATATCCCATATGTCTTGCAACATTGCATACCCGGCATGCAAGTATGATAATTAAAGTCAAATAAGAAAGACAAAATTAATTACCTTTTACTTTATTTAAAAGAATTACTCTCATAACTAAAAGTGCTCTTTTGTAATTTCTATTTTATAATCAAAACTCTATATGAATCATTGTGTATACCAAATGCATTGGTTATGTTTTTTTTTAATTACTAAATACGCAAGGGCAATTTACTTATACTCCAATCTTAATATATATATAAAAACTAATATTATATAATATTATAAACTACAATGAACTTATATTACTTTTGTATTATGTATATCATTTTTATATTAACGTATATTTTTTATTCGTTGAAAAAACTAGACCCAAACTCTCATTTAGATTTTATCAAGCAAATTGCTGACCTTTGAATAATAAAAAAATGTGTATATTTCATTTAAACATTGATTTATACAAGGTGACTCTTTTATCGGTGACCCTTTAATTTATCAAAAAATAAATACAATATTGAGAATTTTATTTTTGATATCTTTTAGTTACATATTTTTCTCAATTTACCAATTAATAAATATTTTCGATGCTCATCCCTTGTACATTATAAAATTATTAACATAAATATTGAGCTAACTATTTTATTTTATTTTAATTGTATTTTAGCTAATTTTATTTTTTTTAAGGCAACATATATAATTAACTAGCTTATTTAATAGATAATGATATAATTAAGAAAATGTAACTGGTCGATTACAATTATAGATCAGTAATTTCAAATTATTAACATTTTTATACCTTGATGAGAGGAGGAGTGAGCTTGAGAAGTGTCTATTAATACAATAAGAAAACTCGTACCTTATCTTTAGCCAAATTATATTTTATAATTTATTATATATAAAAATGCATCCAATTATGATCTATTTTCTCTTTAATATTATAGAATTACAATAATATACTGTAATATAATGATTTAATATTGCGCTATATAATTTAATGTTGTAACATTTCACTCATGTACTGTTATAATTTTACAATGCATCAATGCATTTTAACATAGTACTAGTAGAGCATTATTATTTAGGTAACTAGAATGCAGATTTGAATGCAGGTACATTTGTTTTTATGCTAATAACATTGTTATGGTTACTTTGAAAATTATTAAAAAAAAAAAGAAAAATGTATTGGCTACACTGTTTTATACATAATACTGTTTTATCAGCCAGTTCTGACTGTAAATTAGTTTAAAAGAATTTTTTTACTTTTTTCGATTAATAATTTTATTTGGCAAGTTTTTTTCAAGTACAATTTTTAAAAATCGTAAGTAAAATGTTCAATATTTAATTTTAAAATATTGTTTTCTATTTTCGTATCTATTTAATTTAAAATAATTTAAATTAACTAATACATTTTATACTACATTATTAATTAAATATAACATGAGGTACTTTTGTATTAGTAATATTGGGGTAGTTTTGTATTTGAATTTTATTTATAATATTTTTATCCCATGTGCTTGAGCGGGCATTAAATCATTTTTTAAATCAATTAAAGTCATCTTGCTTAAATATAAATATTTTTTCCTTGCACTACATATAGTTGTGAGCATGATGGTGAGTTATCTACTTCTGAACCGAAAAGTAGGTGGTTCAAAACTCGAATAATGAAAATGTTTTTATTGCATTTTTTTTTTTTAATTTGACAACTTAAATTTTATTTGTTACCAATGTAACTATTTTCTCTCATTTGCGTCATGTATGAAGACATGGAATTTTTTTTTTAAAGCTATTTTTAAATGGATAATTACTGAACAATTTTTAAAACACTATTGAATAGAATTTTGAGAAACACATGTTAAATTTGTTTCCAATTTTGTGAAGGGGTAGTAAAATGCTTTTGTTTAAAAAAATATATTATATGATCAACTATAGATAGAAATTTAAAAAAATAATGTCTTAAAACATTTTTATAACATTATTTAAATAAATATGCAGTATTAGGGTTATTGTTTAATAAGCATTGTATATCAACAAGTTCTTCTCCATGTTATAAAAATGTATTAAATAAAAACATTGAATTGGCCAAGAAGTTATTACTGGTGTTTGATTTCAACATTTTTTTTTATAAAAAGCATTCAAAATAGGCTAGCAATTGAATACTATTTGGGCCAATTGTAATTTTGTTGACAATAAAAAGTAGTCTACTATAAAACAAGTCTTCAAAGTATTAATTTATTTCCAGGAACGGAATGGCCCACTGTGCTGTAGCACAGTGGTTCGGTGATCTTTGTGCCTACGACCGATAGACGGATGTCCGGTTGAATACTGAGAAGGTACCACGGCCATGGTTACTAACAATTAAATTTTTTTTTTTCATTTTTTTGATATTTTAATAAAAATTGTCGAATATAGTTCTTGTAACCATAGTTATGCGAATGTATTTATGATAAATCTATTAAATTATTATAATTACAAAAAATTTTGGGGCTTATAAAATTAGGATCTCTCAATGTTCGCCCAAATAATTAAATTTGTCTCAAATAATTGAACTGATTATCAAAAATGTTACTTCCTGTGTTGGGGTAACCATAACATTGTTTTTTATACCTCAAAATATGTAAAAATATGTATTAATAAAATCTCTGCCCAGCTTTGTTTACCTCAATTTAACTACTTTTCTTGTAATTCTGCCTTTTTTGGGTAAAAAAGCCTTTAATTTAGAATGCATTTTGTTGGGGTAGATTTTAAATTAAATTTTTTTTTTACATTTTACATCACAACTTAAATAAAATTAATAAATTTTGAATATAAGACTATAAACTCCAAACGAACAAAAAATTGAGCGTTATTTAATTTTTTCCCTACCTTAAAATATATTTTAATATTATAATAAATTTAATATTCTAAATTTTTGGGGTTTTACAAGTTTTTATGGGGCTAAGGCATTAACCTTTCTCAAATTTATGCTTAGCGGTAGTCCATTTAGTTGAAACTTAAAGATATTACAGAGAAATAAATTGGACAAATTAAGTAAAATTATGCTTATTAATCTTTGATCAAATATCTTTTACTTAAACATCGAAAGAATATTGTAAAATTTAAAAATTACTCACTTATTACTAGTAATTCCTTTTTTATAAGTATACACAATCTGTTACAGACAATCATTGTCTACTTCAAAAATGATTTAGGTCGTAAAACATTGGGTAGTCTCAAAAAAAATACTTTTTTTATATTCGTATTTAGTATTCGAATAAATCGTCGATAAAATATTTACAATACGTGTTTGAATATTAGTAAAAATATATATATTTAAAAACTATTTTTGAATACTTGAAAAATTAATCTAATAATTTGAAAATAATTGAAAAATAATTACAGTTATAAAATAAAAATTTTATAAAAATTCTTTATAATATTTATAACATATTAAAATTAAATATTATATTACTGGCCTTCTATTTTTTCTCAAATATCGGTAAATGTTAAGCAGTGTTATTCACACGAGCAAAATTCAAAAATCCTCAACAATAATTTTCTTTTTAATTTTGGTTTAAATGATTAAATACTATTAGATTTATTAATAATGGACTTAAAGTAATCAATTATAAAATATAATGACAAAAAAATACTTAGAATAATTATTATATTATAATATATTCAAATATTGAGAAAATGTATTATGTTTCCTCAAGTAATCAGAATACCGTAATATTAAAAATCAAATAATTTACAAGACTGACATTGATACTATAAATGTAAACACGCGTTATTTTTTTGGGAGAAATCTTTTTTAAGTTTCAATCTATACATCTAATATAAAACCTTTAAAAATTTATCAAACTGTTAGGGGTTTCAATAAGAATTACTTTTGAAACCCTACAAATTATTAATTAATTGACTTTACAATCTATGAGTATATTGTAAGAATAGGGTGTAGATAATTAAATAATTAGCTGAATGTGTAGTTACGTCAATACAATTCTACGTACTGTATGGAAACTGCAGAAATCGACGTATGTTATTCAACACGTGACCAACGTTTCCCCTCTCTCAACCCCTAGGCCACGTGTCACATTGTCACGCGCGTGTTCACTATCCTGCTGTACTCCTGCGCCGAATTTTTTAACTTTTCACATGTATTCACAATTTATATATAAGGAATTAACGACCGCCCATCTTATCTCAGAAAATCAAAACTGATATCGTGCATAAACGTCAATTACTTAGGTAAAAAAATATTATAGATATTTATATGTTAAATCAAAAAGAAAAAATGCCATCAAGATACTAGTATAACTGAAGTATAAACAGGACATCGTTTTCATAGTTTTTCGTTCGAATCATTTACATTAGTGTTATTTCGTGTTTGCTATAAATCTAATGTTTTGAGTTTTTCATAAATATGTCTCAGTTAAAATATTTAATCATTTTTAAGTAACTTAACAATATTTATTTCATTTATCGTAGGCAATTTTTATAAAACTGTAACTTATATAACCGTATATATATATATATATTATAATATTTGAGTGTTAATTTTTTTTTTTTTACAGGCTAAACCACTTGAATAACGAGGATAATCATGTCAATAGGTATACATTGGTATAGACATGGTCTCAGATTGCATGATAACCCTGCTCTAGTCGAAGCAGCAAAAAAGACAAATAAACTAATTACTCTTTACATTTTTGATGGAAAAATAGAAGGTAAATTATCAGAATGGTTTAATTAGTATATAAGCACTTATGATACCATAGCACCCTTACAACATTTCCAAAATTTTATCGTATTATAAGTTGTGAATGAAATTTGATTTTTTTTTTTTTAATATTACTTAAAAATAATAATTGATTCCGGTAGGTGTACCTGGCTACCCTGGGCACAATAAGTTCTTTGCAGGTAAAATATTACATCAGAAACAGTGTAACAAAAATATATTAAAAATTTAATTATTAAAATTAGGAAAATTCAAAAAGAGAATGTAGTAAAATGTATTGGGTATAACGTTCACGTTTGTTAATGAGGTATTTCCCTTTGAGCGTTTTCAGAAATTATTTTAGGAGAGTATTTATTTATTTTTTTTTTACTTTGGTAAATATGTTATAGAATTTTCTTTGCTAAAAATCAAAGTGATGATCAATTAAAAGGTCATTAGGTCCATATTTCTTAGAAGTTGCCTAAAAAAATATATCGATAGTGCTAGTTTAAGGGGGTCAATCGCCCATATCCCCTTAAATACGCCCCATTGTATACACAATACTTAATAATATTCTAATTATAATCATTGAATTAATATTATAGAATAATTACAAAAAAATACATCAGGTTATTATTACTGGTAATTTGTAGAAAATTCAATTTTGATAAGAATATGGGTTACTGTGATTTGATATGTTTTTTGGACAGCATAGTTGTCATAGATGGATCCCAATTTTTACGATTAAATCATGCACTTATCATCATAAATGAAATAAATAGGATTAATAATACTGTATTATTCTGATTATGAATGTACAAACTTGTATAACTGTCATGAAATTTATGTAAAATTTATCAAACATTCCTTGATATAACATACAAAATATATTGTTATACGCAAATGCAAAATCGTATCCTAATATAATTCTCTTCATGGACATAAAAAAAATAAGTTCAAAGCGAAAAAAGTACATTTTAACAGTAAGCTGATTATAAAGCCAAAGTTCAAACAAAAGATATATATAACAATTAACTTGATTAAATATATCAACAAATTTTGTATTATAAACACATTTGAAAAAAATCGACAGAAAGTATCTGAGTATACTAAAATAAAAGTAATAAAGTATATTCTGTACTATATAAAATTTTATGGGAGATACATTTAATTGTTATTGAAATTAATTTTAACTTTTTAATTTAGGTGACCAACAAATTGGTTACAATCGAATGCGTTTTCTTCTTGAAAGTTTAAAAGATCTTGATGATAATTTAAAATTGCGCGGAGGATGCTTATATATATTACAAGGAAATCCTGTGGATATCTTTGAAAAAATAAAAAATGAAGTTGGCTTAAATTTAATATCATTTGAACAGGTGAATATTTATTAAAGTAAAATATTATTATTTAAAAATAACTAATATTTCATGTTAAACGAATTACACACCATTTAAACTTATAGGACTGTGAACCCATTTGGAAAAAGAGAGATGATGCAGTTAAACGTTTTTCCCGAGAAAATAATATTGAGTGTATAGAAAAAGTTTCTCATACATTATGGGATCCTAAACTTATCATTCAAAACAATGGTGGGGTTGCTCCTTTAACGTTTGAAAACTTTCTTGTGAGTATTAATTAATTGTATAGGCGAAACTACTGTATCGTCTAGGACATTCCCCTAGTTGATAAGCCCCGTAGTAATGAATAAGTTTAATATTATAAACTAAACATAAATTATTACCCAGATAGCAATTTTAAAAAATAATATTATAAAAATATTTTTATAACAATAGTATAACATTATTTAAATAAAAATGTTATCAGGGTAGATAAAAATATTATGATTTCAATTTTGAAGGAGCTTAACTCTTATTTACAACTGCCTCTGTGGTACTGTAAATATAATAGGTGGAAGTATTAAACGTTTTTTCTTGTTATTTACTTAGTTATTCTTATTGTGGTTAAATTCAGTGCGCGTTTTCATCATTATATATTTATTAAAAAAAAATGTTCAGTTTATTAAACAATTTTAGTATCTCCTATATATTTGTATATTTTGGTTCATATACAATTATTAAAATTAGAACATGTTTTTAGAGTATTACAAGTAAAATTGGAAATCCTCCTAGACCAGTACCTCATGTTGATTGGTTATCAGTAAATTTTGCAGAACTTCCAACAAGTGTTTTAAAAAAATTTAAGGTTAATAATTTCAATTTAAATAATTTAAATTCAATAATTTAAGATTAACTACTTTTATCTACATTGAACAATAAAACGTTATTTTTTATAATACACAAATAAAATTTAAAAAAAACGCCCATTTTACCATTTAATTTGTTTTTTTATTACAAAATAAAATATATAAAGGCTTTGAATAATCCAAGTCCAGAATATTTCAATATGTATCCTGAAGTACCCGAAATTCATAGTTCACATAACCGTTTGTATGGCGGTGAAACTAAAGCTTTGGAACAACTTATGGTTCGCCTTGAATTTGAAAAAGAAGCTTTCATCAATGGATTTTACTTACCTAATCAAGTCAATCCTGATTTATTAGGACCACCATCAAGTATGAGTGCTGCTTTACGTTTGGGATGTTTATCTATACGAAAGTAATAATGGCGAGAAAAATGAAAACGTTTAATTAATAATGTGTCTATGTATAGATTTTATTGGGAGTTGTCAAAACTATTCATGCAAACATTCGAAGAAGATTTATTACCACAACACAGTGCTACGAGCCAGTTAATTTGGAGGGATTATTTTTATGTGATGTCTGTTGATAACGATCAATTTGACCAAATAGAAAATAATCCAGCTTGTATAAAAATACCATGGGGAGATTTAGAATTAGAAAAAAACAGAATGCATTTAAATTGCTGGAAATATGGTAAAACAGGTTATCCATTTATTGATGCTGGAATGAGACAACTTTTACAAGTAAATATTAAAAACTAAGTAAAAATTTCATACAATATAAAAAAACTTTAGAAAAATGCACAAATTTATTGTTAATGTACAGCTGATAAATTCTTTGTTTGTAAAATTAAAAATTGATCAAGCAAAAAAATAATTTGTTTAAGTAACAAGAATATGATTGATTTAACTATACAAAAATTGTCAACCGTATTTTTTTTCGCAGTATTTAATAGTAAAAAATACAATAAAACATCTCTTTTAATAGATACTAAACATAATCGTATATTAATTTTTTAGCTTCGATGCGAAGCGGAGAAGGTATTAATTTTACTATGATGTGTTTTTTTTTTTTTTTATGTCTGTTGCCACTTTTTCTCAGCTCTCACTGGACCGATTTCTTTCAAAAATACGTCAAAAGATCACAAATCGTATCTAGTTGAAGACATTACCCTTAAAAATTGAAAAAAATTCCCTCGTTCCCCGCAAATGGGGGAAATATCCAAAAAAATTACAAATTTAAAAATCGCTAATTTTCGAAATTTTTTCACTTTTTTTTCTTAAAACTTCCATAACTTTTTGAAAAATCAACAAATCAACATAATTTTTTTTTATACTAAAACCTTAGATATTTACCTTTCATTTGATATCATTTTTTTGAAAATCTATCACTTAACCTGCTCATTGGGGGGGATTTAAAATGGCAACTTTTTTACAAAAATTAATTTTTTCAACTTAATTTTTGAAAATGTTCCGGAAAGACTGCGTCCTTTAAACATATATCAAATTAAAGCTTATTTTATGTACTACAAAATGAAAAAAAAAAATTTGTCCCGACACTTTTTTTTCTACATTTAAACGGCTGCCGTAGTTAAAAAAACACTATTTTTGTGTTAAAATTTTCGATTTTCGATTTTAAATTTTCAACTTAAAAATGCTATAACTTTTTGAAAAATGTATATATCAGCACAAATTTTTTTTTTCTAAATACATTATAAGTACATCTTTCATTTGACATACTTTTTATTAAAATTGGACAATTTCCCCTTATATAGGGGGCGTTCAAAACTTAAAATATTGTAAAAAACATAGATCTTTTTCAACTGAACTTTTGAAAATGTTCCGGAAATACTGCGTCCTTTAAACATATATCAAATCAAAGGTTATGTTATATACTATCAAATGAAAAAAAAAAATTTGTCCCGACATCTTATCTTCTATGTGCAAATGGCTGTCGAAAATTTAAAAAAAAATGTAATGTTTGCGATAAAAATTACATTTTATCGGGATGTTTTTTGTACTTAAAACTGCCATAACTTTTTCAAAAATGAACAAATAAAAATAATATTTTTTTGTATTGAAACCTTAGATATTTCCCTTTCATTTGATATAATTTTTTTTGAAAATCTAACACTTATTCTGCTCACTGGGAGGATTTAAAATAGTAACTTTTTTACAAAAAATAACTTTTTCAACTTAATTTTTGAAAATGTTCCGGAAATACTGCGTCCTTTAAACATATATAAAATTAAAGCTTATTTTATGTACTACAAAATGAAAAAAAAAAATTTGTCCCGACGATCTATCTTCTATACGCAAATGGCTACCATATTGAAAAATATACTATTTTTGTATGATAATTATGGGTTTTGTATTTTATTTTAATAGAAGTTGATGTTGCTTTTGCAATTATCCATCAATTTTTTAAAATTAAACACTATCTACAGATTTGCATCGAAGCGTTTCTTATGATAGTGATTTTAATCACTGTCAGATTAAATCTAGACTGAACCCAACTATGCAATGTCTCCACTATGCCGCGACCCCACTGTGCTACCGTTTTTTATTTTGAACCGTAAATAAACGTGTTGAATTAATAAATATGTTAATTAAAAAAATTAATGTTAAATAAATTAGTTAGTCACGTTTATGTATAATATGAACCTTGAAATTTAATCCACGATAATAGCATATTTTTTTAGTTCTTATATTATTCAATAAATAGTTTATATAATTTATATTACCCAAATAAATGATTCGATAACAGAAAAAAACACATAAAATATTTATCTTACATTATTCTTATTTGTTTTTAATGACAAAAAAACGATTCATTTTGTGATAATATTGAAACGCAATAAAAATCATTGAGTTAGAAATTATTCTTTGCTATTGCTTAAATAGATTATGTTCACGAATTTTGTTTTATATTTTTTCAAATTTAATGAAAAAAAATATTTCATTTTATTGGACCATTAAAAAAATGTATACTCGTTAAAAAATAAATTTTTTAAGGTTTTATTTTACATATTTTTTATAGGAAGGTTGGATCCACCATGTAGTAAGAAATTCAGTGGCTTGTTTCTTGACTAGAGGAGATCTTTGGATAAGTTGGACTGAAGGGTTTAAACACTTTATTAAGTTCTTATTAGATGGTGATTGGGCCGTTTGTTCGGGTAATTGGATTTGGGTTTCCAGTTCTACGTTTGAACAGATTTTAGATTGTCCATTATGCGTATGTCCTGTTAGCTATGGAAAGCGACTAGATCCTACAGGCGAGTATGTAAGGTAAAAATGATTGTCCATAAAATATAATTGTAAATAAATATAAATGATCATTTGAGATACATTTTTGCATGTAAAAGGCGTTATGTGCCAGAGTTAAGAAAGTTGCCAGATAAATATTTATTCGAACCATGGAAGTGTCCAATAGAAATTCAAAAAAAAGTGGGATGCATTATTGGCAAAGATTATCCTCACCGTATAGTTGACCACCAAAATGCATCTTGTGAAAATAGAAAGGTAAAAATGTTTTATTTTTTGTATAGTTTTGAATTGTATATAGATTGGGCTTTGTATATCCAAATATAAGGCTATAAAAAGGTTTATTCGTTTTTTTTGCTTTTATAGTAAAGAATACAATAGTTATATTCGTTTTTTGCTTCCTAATTTTTAAAAATACCAAGCTAAGGACAGGCTCGTAGGACAAGCTAGTAATGATCTTATCTTTCAAAATTGCAGGTTGTATTTGATTATAAAGTTTATTGAATAATAAGTAATTCATAATTAATTATTATTTGATTTTTGAGGGGGCATAAAGTAGTACGTATAAATAGTACATTTTATTTATGTTATATTTTAATAAATAAAAAATATTTTGATATTTTTTACAATAATAATGAGTTATATAAAAATTTATTAATATTAATAAGTTACTCTACTAAATATATATAATTATAATAATTATTTTATGCTAGTTGTGTTTAATATAAAATTCAATTTACCATATGTTATTTTATAAAAATATTGAAACGATGAAATATTCTATAGCAGTTACTCAATTGTTCGATTAATTTTCAACAATATTTTCATTGATTAATATATTATTATAGTTATCAAATATTATGTTTTATTCATTAGAATAATTAGATATTTTGCAAAACCATTCAATATGTAATTAAATATTCTTCAACTATTTATTTCCCATAAAAATGAACTGTGTTATTTTGAAAAAAACGACACGATGTAGTTATATGTGTGGCATATTTAATTAGGTTTACGTTAAAAGACAACCGATAAAATTCAAAATTCACACATGGTTATTTTGTATATTTTTTTTTATTAGAAAATGCAAGAATTAAGATCTTCACTGATGAACGAAAACAGTATTCCTCATTGTCGTCCATCAAATACGACAGAATTAAAAAAATTCATGTATTTAAGCAATGATTGTATGGAAGAATTGTGTATGAACTTGCATAGTGAATATTCAAATATATATTAATAAGTTGCAATTTTTATTTTTTATTATTCTACTGTTTTTTAAGATGAAACTTTTTTGTATTAATGATTATAAAATATATGTACATCAATTCATTATTTTAAATTTTTAGTTGTATTTTAAATATTGAATTTGTTGGACAATTTTTTTTAAATAAAGTATACTAAATAATTAAATTTAGATTTATTTCAATTTAATTTTTTGTTTTTAAAACAAATAATTTTTGTGTTATTTTTAATGATTTATTATTTGTCGGAATAACTCCCATGTTTTAATTTATTATATTTATACAAATAAAAATCGAATTACCATTAACGCTTGGATACACCATATAAAATCAAATACAATCAACCATACAATCAATATTAATAATTTAATTTTCCTCAAAATTTATGTCTTGAGTCAAACGTTAAGTTAAACCGTAAAAAATATATCCTCCCAAGAATTAGTGGGGTATATACGATAAGTATAGATAGATAAGTAGGGAAATTCCTCGCGCCGAGGAAAACTCATCTCCGAGTAATTTTTTTTTTATTTATGGATATTTTTTATTATAAAAGATTAATAAAATTGTCTTTTGTAAAAATTATTTTAATCGACCACATAAAAAATTAATTACAGATAATTGTTAATTGCAACCCTATGATTTGATTTTCGATCATAAGTATTTAAACTATTAAGGTTAGTGCAGTTTATGGTAGATAAAAAATCCTGACCATAGTATAATATTCTTAATAGATAATTAATAACTTTAAAATGGTTAAAAAAAAAATTGAATTTAAAATGTCAAGTTACAATAGATGCACAAATATAATGTTATTTTTACCTTATTTTCTTTAGTGTTATTTAACACTAAAAAGTTCTAGTGAATTTTAATTTTATTTGCTATAAATATTTCTTATGGACATATTTATTTAAACTTCGGCTGCTTTGGCCGTTAGTCACAATATATTATGAATTTACTTAAAAATAAAATGTACATTATTTTAAGTTTAGTGGTTTTAATAATTATTTACAATATAATTAAAAACATAATATTATGAAATATTCTAAAATTCTGGGTACGTCACTGCCAAGAATGCATGGTATATATATATATACAATGCTTTCTTTAATTATAATTATAATTAGAAAAACCTAATATTAGATTTCGAAAAACTGCTAATTGATCAATTTACTTATCATTATATTGAGTAATTAAATGAGGTATAATTACTTTTACGCTAAACAGCTACGTACAATTTTGTAAAAGTTGTTTATTGTTCGGCAGTAGTTTTTCAATATTTTTCTATTATAAAAATGCACTTTTAATGTAAATTAGCTTATTTTTCGAAACATGATTTAATGTATTGTTCTTTTTATTCTTCATTAAATAATTTTAATTTTAAGTTTAAAAGAAAATTTCTTTTCTCATTTACTCTATGAAATTAAGTTTTTACATAGATTTTCCACGCTTAAAAAATTGTATCTTTTAGTATATTCCCCGCCTTAAGTACCTTAAAGGCTAGTTTTGAAATTAAGTGAAGATTTATAGATTATTATTTTTTGTCATGTCTAATTTCGATTTAATAGGCATCAAATGTTCTATGTAATGGCTATATAACAGTAGTATCCTGTTAAGTGGCATAAATTATGTCATTACATGTGGTATCTTAGTTTTTTTTACTAAGCCATGTAATTTTTAAAGAAACTTATTAATAGTTTCTATGATTTTTTTTTAAATGAATTCAACTAGTTCTTAAAAAAAAATTATAATATAATAAAATTATGGTACAATTTTTAGCTAATTGGAAAATAAATTTATGTACATAGTTATACATTTTCATTCAAACTCTATAAATTATGGTGGGTTTGTATATTATCATTGTAGCGTTACAGTGCTCATAACAAAAACTGTAAGAATAAAATCATTAAATTAATAAATTCATAAAGACCTAAAAATAATTGAGCCTTATTTTAAAAAAAAATTATAATAATACGACTTAATTTTAAACAAAAAGTTTAAAAATTGTTTTTGATGTCGTATAAGTTTACTATATCTATACCTAACAATTCACAATTCAATATTACATGTAATTTACTTTATACAACTTTAGGTGAGGTATTATTAAAATATTTTAATAAACTTCAATTGATTGCTTGTGGTCTGTTGAAAAAGTAACCTGAAACAATGAAAAATTAAATAATATTAATGAGGTAATGAAATTATTTTTTCTTCCAAGCTTTGCTATCGGTTGATTATTTTTAAAGACGAAAATATTTTTACAGTTTTAAGTGATATTTCAAAATATTATTCTTTATTTGTCATTTATAAAATTAAATAAAATTTATGCGAAAAGTCGAAGAGTATAAAGGAAGCCATAGGAGAAGTCCTATTTAATCCAAAGAAAAATGTATACATACTGCAATACAGTTTTAGTGTCAATAAAATGATTTTACCTTTCAACATTTCGTGTAATTGTTGTTCTGTACCGCAACAATTGAATTCAGATGGCCGTACACCTTGGAAAATAGACATAACACTAGGTTTTACTTTGTAAAATACAAGTGGCTGTTTTCTTCGAACAAAGTCTTCGATTAATGATTTAATACCCTGCAAAGTATATGTATGTGTTTATTTTTTAATCATCGCTGAAAGAAATATTTAGCATTTAAACATACCTTAGCTGCTGTAAAATCAGCCCCTTGTATATGTTTACAATCAATGACGACGGGTATAGAGCTTAATCCTTGCCTAAGTCCAGCTTTTGTAACTACTGCTCGAACATATTCCACAGATGGAAATACTAAACTGCGATCTGGTGTGATCATTAAGTATTCGTACCCAAAATCATTCTAAAAAATATAGACATTTTTAAATAAATTCCTATTAATTAGTTGGACTATGAATAATGCAAGACAACAATTCTACGAATTTTTATATGTTTTCAATAAATATTTTTTATATTTTTTATTTTTACGATGATTAAATAACATCCTATCTCTTTTTTGCGATACTGATGTTGACATCAACTCGAATAATAATTATAAAATTATTATACAAACCTTTTGCTTTTCGATGTTAACCCTGGGCCTGGCCAATGTGTACAATAAGATTATCACATTAATGGCAATACCAACTACAATACCTACTTCTAATCGGATCATTAATGAACATAGGAACGTAGCAAACGCAGGTATCAGGTCAATTTCTGAAAGAATTAAAATTTATGTTATTAGTGTAGACTTTAAAATAGGAAGACATATATTTTCGATTATGATAGTCTGAATAAATACATACTTTTTGTACGCCACATTGGTTTAATGACGTGCAATTCGACCATAAATACAACAGCAGCTATTATAACAGCAGCGAGAGCTGCTTTAGGTATGTAGACAAAATACGGAGTGAAAAATTGTAAGGCTACGATTACAATTATTCCTGTAATGATAAGTTCGATTAGTGTTATAATACACACATATCTTTTTTCTAAAAAAGACTATACTTCAAAACGCATATATTGCGTAAAACAATAAACCCTTACCTGTATAAATACCACCAAACGTCGTTTTAACACCACTGGCATTGTTTACGGCACCCCGTGATAGTGCTCCAGACACAGGCATTGATCCGACAAAGGACGATACTAGATTGCTGACACCTAGAGCGAGCATTTCTTGTGTGGCGTCAACGGTTTTACCATCAGCTAAAGATAAAAATAATAATTACATATAAAATTTAACACAGGAATTTTAGTTTAGAAATACCAGTTGACTACAATGGATTTCGTACCTCATCAATACCAGCATTATAACAACGAATTAATACAACATCTTTATATTTTAGGTAATCATAACTTAAAATTCATAAAATTGCATCAGAAAGGAAGCTTTGGATGATACAACACTTATGATAAAATCTCGAATTTTTGTTCAAATACTAACCGAAAAATTTAGCTAAAGATATGTTTTCTAAAATTGATAATAGTGGTACGACTAGAATTCCTGAACCCAATTTGGACGCCATATCAATGAAGGTGTACGTTTCGTTTTTGTAGGTGGTCTCGAATGCTGGAACTTGGAATTTCGGTAGACCTGGTTCCACGTTACCTGAGAAGAGTAAATCGTTAATGCGTTTACAAATTAAAATATAATCTAAAGGATTTTACTTACTGGAAAGTTTAAAAGGCAAATTTCCATTTTTTTCATAAAAATATCCAAGAATGGCGCAGAAGACAACAACTATGATATTTCTAGCAGTAGAAATAAGCCATATGGCAGATAACATTACTCGCTGTGCTGTCGATTTTTCCTTTGTGTCGCTTGGACCGATTTGTATGTCTTTCATTTTCTGAAATATGATTTTAAATAACTTAAGTATTGTTTTTGACATAGATTAATTGTTGAGCTTACCCGTAACAACAAGAGAACAATCATACACGTGATACCCAGAGTCGCATCGCCAGTGCTTATTTCTCCTATACGATTCGCCAGCTGATCCCAAACTCCAATAAAAGAACTTGATTTAATATTAATACCTAGTAGGTCCTTCATTTGCGATGTGGCTATTACGATCGCTGCTGCGGATGTAAAACCAGCCGAAACGGGACCGGATATGAAATCTATGAGGAATCCTAAAAATATGACAATCGAATAAAAATCATGAATGTTTTTTGTTGAACACCAATAGTAAATTGGTGTTATACTGTTTACACTCTGAATAAAATGTAAACATTATATTCAAAGTGAAAAATATTGTTTGATGCACTAGACTTTCATAATGGACAGTCATTTCAATTGAAAACTACCTAATTGAGCGAATCCCATAATGAGTTGAATAATTCCTGTGATGAAAGCTAATAGAACAGCAAACTCTGGGCCCATACCGTGTATATTCTCCCTTGTCATAATTGCCATAATGGCTGTGGGGCCGATTGCTGGGTCCTTACAGCTACCAAATATCGTGTAAACAAAACACGCCATAAATGATGAATATAAACCAATCTGACAAAAAGTAAAAATAATAATTAACATAAGGAAAGTATTATAAAATTATTCTGCTCAAATAAGTTATTAACTTTTAGCTATTTAGTTTCATTAAATCTGTCTACAAAGCCATAAAAATTCGCACGTAACCGCGACGGTTTCAAGGTCAAGTTCAATAAAATGAGATTATAAGATAACTCGTCATTGTAATACATTACATTAAGTATTAATACCCATTGTGTTATTAAAACCAAAAAAATCTTAAACTTGACGGTATATTGTGACCACAAATATTTAAGACGTATTCAACGTCGTAGTTCTCGGTTATTAAACAAATTGTAAAAATAATTATTTTGTCTTTGCATTAATATTTTAAAATAGTTACTAAAATATATTATGTATAGAAAATGGTTAAACATTTGATCAAAAACCATTAATTTTTTTACGTTTCCTCTTGTATGGCCGATATATCATTGGATATTAATCAATGCATTATATTATTACATCGTTATTAAATTTTATTTTCTTTCATTAATTAGTTATTAAAGTTCTTCATAACAAGTTTTTACTTTTGCTATTTGTTAACTTTTAACTTCAATGTACATAACACACTCCGATTGATTGTTTTACTTTTTCTTTGATATACAAATCCGTTATGAAATAAATAAATTCAAATGGTAATGTTTGAAATAAAAGTTTAAAACCGGATGCTGACGTTGCAATTTAAAACACAATAACTTATGATGATTGATTAATGACGTGACTTTTTTCTTATAAGAAAAGGAAAATTTATAATCAACTACTTTGACTAACTTATAAACTATTAAACATTTCTTATAATAAATATTAAATAATTACAATATAGATAGTGAAGCTATTAATTCAAGTTCAAAACGATTTACATAAATTAAAAAAATGATGGAATTTTATTATTTTTTGCAAATTATCTTCTGCATTTAATTATGATAACATTTATATTTGTAAATTTAGGTGCAAATTTATCAAACAATATCAAGTAAAAAAATAAGGACATTTGTTCACCTTGTATAGATGTAAATACAAGTATTTCTGACAATATTTCGTAGAATAAGTTCTACTGACCCCGTTCTGCCCTATAATTCCTTTCAATTTTGTGCGCGTCACTGATATTCATTAATTGTTAAATATAGCTCAATTCTATTATGAAAATATAATGAAATTTTAACTATTACTTGTGGAGGAACTCCAGCTACACTTGCAAAAGCTATTGCTTGGGGTATAACAGTCAGACCCACTGTTATACCAGCTACGAGATCAGATATTCCATGGTCAGTAATTGAATACTTAGGTAACCATTGAAGAATAGGAAGACGTTTATACAGTAATTTTTTGGTACAACAACGATGTATTGTATCGGAACAAATAGGTAATACTGTTGAGTCGTTGTTGTCCTTCCCTGTAATCAAATTGTTGTACATTAACAAGATTATATCTAAAATTCAGCACGAAAAATTGTAAAAACATTTTATGTCATTATTTTAAAATGCTATTTCTATTAAATCAATATATTTATATAGTAAACGTAACTGAACAAATACATTAGATATTTCTTGGCCTCACTGCTCCTCCCGCTTAGGTATAAAAAGTTTAATATCTTTTGAAATACTGATCCAAACATTTTTATCGACCAATCATTTTCCTAACTAGATTATTTTCTATTTTATAAGTTAGTAAAATATGTATCTTTCCATAAAAAAAAATAAAGTTGACATGCCTATAAGACATAAGGGGTGAACATAAAAAATATTTTATAACAGATAAATGAAGATACATATGTAACTAAGAAAAACCAAAAAAATAAAAATTCATAAAAAATTATTATTTTAAGAGAAATTAAGTGGTTAGTGTTAATAAATATCGCTTTGTATACGCATTGGTTTTTATTTTATTAAAATACAAAATTGATTACGATTCAATTTTTTTGAAATATAAATATACACTTTCTACATCTTCACATGATACACGATAAATATAAGATAACAATTTTTTTTCTCAAACACGTGTTGTTACTTTTTGTAAGACTATTAACATAGTAGCTTTATATGATAAAACCCATGACCTCTTTTCAGGAAAATTAATAAGCGAGTGTAACCTTTACTGAATAATTTATCACAGTAAAAAGTTTAGCATAAATTTTTGTCTCATATCGTGATCATCATGTACAACAATTATAATTGATTTATTTTTTAAATATTATTGAGTTGCCCTGAAGATGGTAGAAAACATTTTATGCAAGTTATAAAAAGGTCAACAATTTACTACAAAGTTCAACGTAAGTTTGCTGTGTATAATTGAAGCAAAGAATTCTTACAAAATTAATACGCAACGTTAATAATAGTAGACAAATTTTAATATAAGTTAGCTCTATTATTGTATATTATACTAATTATCATACAATTATTTAGTTGATACAAAGAAATGTATTATTTTTTGGTTTTAACATACAATTACAAGGACATTCAAAAAGAAGTTTAATCGTATTATTTATATATATTTCCAGGGTGTAATTTGTAAAATCTTAAACGTTTTTTTTAATAGTTTTAAATTAGTCTTATCCACTTGTAAACATTATACAATATTGCTAATTTACAATATTTGTGGTGAGGGAAAACCAGTTTTTTTGCTTGCCTAATGGTAAAACCTATATTTTATACACGTACTACGGAATTATTTCTGACGCGATCATTGAGTATGTAAGCTCTTTTTATTCAAAATTACACACAATTAGATTTAACGTTTTCGTTTAAAATAATTTTGCCTGTAAAAAAAAATCCGATAATATAAGACTATTCTACTTACACAGTGAACTATTTTATTTGTTAAAAATATAAACAGTCATGTTAACAGTTAACTGTTTAAAGATTCAATTTAGTAATGAAAAAACTTGCTATCGGTTCCTTTGTAATAATTACTAACTAGAAATTTTAATTATAAGAATCTAAACGAAACTTTTTTTTTTTATCAATATAAATACAATATAGTTTGTATTTCACAAAGAAGATCTTGAGTGCGTCGACCGCTAATAATATTTAACATCCTTCAATACTCTCACGATATTAAACAATGACAGGAAAAAATATGAAACATAAATAATATAATACTAATAGATAATTATCGATTAGGTCAACACGTTCTGTATAATTGTTTAATAAATTTTATAGAGTCCATACATTTTTTACTATATAAATGTATTTATGTGTTATTATTTTTTATATAAATTATCTCTTTATTCGTCAATAATAATTAGTTTTCTAGCAAGTTTTCTTATAAATAGTAATACAAATTATTATGTTTGGATCAGTATAAAAAAGTATAATAATATTATACTGTATTGTAGGCTTTATGTAAATAAAATTTATCATGTGAAATGGTTCATAATTAAGAATATACATATATATTATAATTTAATTGAAGTAATTGTAAATTTACTTTAAACCTATAAAAATACTTAAATATTTCATACTAATATTTTCAAAATAATTGTATGTTAAGACATAAAATATGATATCAATTCAAAGTATTAAAATCAGTGTGGTATTTATTACTCTAAAAAAGGAATAAACTTTTTTCTTTGTAAAAATTAACTTTTTTTAATAAAGTATTATATGTTCTATACATTTTTCACATATACGTTGAATGTATAAAACCAATCGTCATAAAATGATTAACTCTACAAATTACACACTTACTCGGAACAAAACTATTTTGAGATGAATATGATGGAGGGTATCTGGATAGATCGTCAGACGAGTTCCATTGAAATCCTTCGTTTTTGTATCCTGGTACAGTTTCAGAGTCTGTTTTTACAAATCCAATTAATTTGACATTCTTGTAAAATTCATCATTATGATTATTTGACTTGCCACCCTCCATTTTATAACTTAAATGATTACTCATCATGACTTTTTTACTTTTCGATAATTTATCGAAAGTATTTAAAGTAGTAATTTAACCAGTGTTCAGTGACATTGATACAGATCTATAAAAATAACTACTGTTAACATTTTAGTACTTAAAAATTTGTACAGATAAATTCCATACGTGTAACAATTTTCAAAATAAGTACATGAGCAAAGGTAGTAGTTATAAATAATTAGTGATTAATAAATAACGTTTGTGAAAAATGTAAACTCAAGTTGAATTATTGTTTAACTTTTATAGCGTATTTAGATCAATAAGTATTCTCGAAATAAAAAATTGTATAACATTTTTTATTAAAAAAAAAAAAATTATATTTATATTGTTTGTCATGTCAAAATAATTTAATAATTAATTAATTTAAATTTAAATGAATCTTAAAATATTCCTATAATGAAATCAAAAAACCTCTTTAACAAGTATCTAAATGTTCTATTCAATTTTAAATTGTGGACTTAGTAGTCCGAATTATTTCCCTACGTTTATCTATCGTAAGTTTACTTATTATTAAGTAATTTCAAAAATCTTCATTTTTATCTCATGAGGTAAATTTCTTTTTTGTAGAAACGAAATGTAACTGTTGAATATTATTTTAATAATTATAGTGCTGACAAAAATTATAATTTGTAGTAACAATGAGCTTATCTAGGATTTAACATATGCAATGAGAATATATAAATATCATGTCAATATTCAATACTTTCAAGGCAAATCTAGTTGGCTAAATTATTCACTTCCGTTTAAATTTTTTGTTTGGGAAGAGGATAAGGTATAAGAATTGCTGAAATGTATTCAATCTCAGGAATTTATTTACAAATTTTTATGAACTTAAGAATATTAAATCAAAATAAATTTCATAAATTATCCTATATAAAACCCATAAGATACCATTCATTATTTAATTTGTGTAAAACTAGAGTAGTTAAACAATAAACAATTAAGTGGAATCAGATAAAAAAAAATGGATAGGTATCAAATTTCATGGGATCTTAAGCATAGTTCGAATACTTTACAATTTTACCTGTACCGCCGAAGTTGGTTATTTATTCATTATTGGACAAGATTTATAAATAAATAAAAAATAAAATACCAAGGTAAAAGAATTACGTGTATTATTTTAATACAATTAAATGTTATTAAAACATGTATAACTGTTATTTGATATTTAATCATTTAGTCCTGAAGTCATAAAAATTATTTTTATGATTTTTACGTCAAGTGTTCTTTTTAAGTTATTACTGATTTAATTTGAAACAATATAAGTACATATACCTTCTTGAATATTTTTCGTATTATAATTAGTTCGTGAACAATGAACGCGTTTATGATAAGTTCCAAACCAGTTTGAATGAATTGAGTTCCATTAAAATATCATATCAGTTTTTTTTAACTTAATGGTTTCTTGTAATTTATGTTATGGAGAAACTTAAAAATTTTTTGTAATGTAAGTCACATTTCTATTACTTTATTTAGTATTAATACGAAAATATAAAATAATATTTTCCGTGTTTCGTAAACGAGATTTTCTACCACGCGAGTGAATACTTGTTTACGGAGTGATTCTTTTATCATAAATCACATAATTTATATATAAATGTATTCATAATTTCTTTTTTTTTTAAATTCGATAGTTACATGTTTTATCTAATTTATCAATAGCGAAGTATTTTTATATTCATCATTTATATTTTATAAGAGTGTCAATTTTTTTTAAAGCAAATATAATTAATTAGCTTTTTTATTATTTAATAATCTAATTAAGAAAATATTGGTCGCTAACAATTTGTTGGCCAGAAGTTATTAACACAATTTAAAATAATGACTAGAGGTGAGACGCAGTTCAGCTATATTTATCACTAGATATTTTTCGTCCTCACTCCTCTCGCTCAAATGAAACATTGATAATTTTCTTAATTAGATCATTATCTAATAACACATTTTAGTCAAATATGTACATTGCTCTTTAAAAAATTAATAATGATTTCCTTATAATAAGGGTAATAACATTATTTTTCTTTTAGTTAATCATGAAATATTTTATTTATTATAAGGGATGAATATCAAAATACTTTTTAATTATTGTTGCAGTTAAATTATTTGCTAATTGAAAATATAATTTTTTTTTTATGGCTGGTTTCTCATTATAGAGAATTTGTGGGCATTTTTTTCTAAATTTCGAAAGATGAGCTATTTTTCAGTTTTTGATACTGATATGTATAACTATATTAAACAAAGGGTTTTTTTTGACGTATGTATCATCAAAATCGGCGCTTCGAGAGCTGAGTATTTACATGGATACACACAAAAAAACACATAAAATACCTTAGCAGCCTCGTTTTGAAGCTAATTAAATAATTATCAATGTTATTTTTAATTTTTCGATTAAATAAGTAGATTGTGATAAAAAAATCATTCTGTATACAATACTATACAATGTATACATATATGGTGTTTATAAATTATAAAATTAAAAAATTTATGCAGTTAATAAAATATTGCCGTTTCCGTAGTAAAGAGTTTATTATTTTCAGGAAATTATAGATTTTAACAAATTGGTGCCTAAGGTCAAAAGTGTGAATTTGATGTCTATAAATGTAGAGTTATGATTTGAATAAACAGGTTATATATTCTTTCTTTAAATATCTTGAAGTATATTGCCATAAGAAATCTTCCACTGATCAATTGGATTAAATCAATAAAAAATCATTATTTTAAATCTCAACAAGTTTTTTATCGCACTTATTGATGATTATTTGTTACGTTGTATTATTAATTAGGTATAAAAATATTTTTATAAAAGTTTAAAATTAAGATATTATCTTTTTGATTTAGTTACTTTTTCCTGAATACTTAATTCTTCTATTAGTGCATCATGCAGATAATATAAATTACATTAAACCAATTCCGACAATTTATTAGTTGACAATATAAGTGCTTTGTTATCACCTATATATGATGAGTCAAGCATCTCTTAGTCTACAGTAATTAAAACAAATTGTCATTTAGTCTCAATGTTTTTATCGTAAATAATGATCTTGTAGTTAATGTCTGATCGGATGCATGAAAAATTTTGAAAAAATATTTAGAGAAGAGAAGAAAAATTATTTTTAATTAGTTAACTTAAAATTTTTGTTACATAGATTATTCAATCTTGAGGGTAATTAATTTTAAAACTAAGAGTATAAATCACTTCAATGAAGTCGTGTCTTATGTGTTTATATTGGTGCAATTTAACTTTTTTATTTTTTATACATACCATTGATATAATATCACTTATATTATTTAGTATATTATATTTTATAAAATAAAGTAAATAGATATTAAAAAGAATATTTTATTTTTGAACATGATATTTAAGAAATCAAAATTCTATCTTTACTATTAACAACATATTGTAGAATAATCACGGAAAGGTTTATTTGTTAACATTAGGCTACACAATGAATTATTAGAAAGGACTATAATACTTTTTTAATATGAAAACTAAGCATAAAATGTATTAAACGTGTTTATTTAACAATTTTATTTTTATCGACGCTTATTAAGTCGGTTAAAAAAACAAACTCGAACATTGCAAAGAGGTATTTTAAAAGCACAATGATTTCGCATATAATTTACAGTAAAATGCTAATGAATATTATATTCTAAAACTACAGACAAAAATGCCCTTAACGAATTTATAAAAATATCTATATGTAAACAAACTGAAACAATAACATCAAATCTTCTATTTCATAACCCAAGTGTTCAATTGTATTTTGTATTTTTTTTAATATAAAATTGCAGTTAAATGATAATTAAACATATATATATATATATATATGTTTACTGAATAAATACTAAAATTTTGAAAATTATTGAATTCAATGTATCAGAAACATAATTAAACATTTCTGCCTATATACCACTACTTATTTTAAATAAAATAGTCGAGCTATCTAATAAATTTTGGTTTCTAGAGTTGACACATCATACTTATCAATACAAGTGTATACAATACATTTAATGTAAAAGTACAAATAAAAAATATTAATAATAATTGTTATAAAAATAGATAGTCTCCTCGTAGATACCAAACATAAATAAAAAAAAAAATTGTTTTAAACTGAGATTCAAAGTTTTTTTTATTAATATGTAAGCGGAGGATTTTGTTAAACCACAACGAAAATATTTTGGAATAAATTTACTTCTCTTGCATAGATATTACAAGGAAGATTTTGTTAAAATTTTTGTTTTTATAAGGAATCCATCGAACTTTATTAAATGAAATTGTACTATCAATTTTTTCTATAGAAAAAATAAACTATAAACCCTGAGATTACGATAACCCCTATGACAGCTTAGCTATTTTTGAAATTTATAGCGATATTTAGAAAATTATCGAGTTTAAGACCTTTAATTTTTTGCTAATCAACTTTTATTTAGAGCAATTTTTTAAGACTGTTAATGCACATTTAGCCTCCTTGGAGGTAATGTCTAAATTCAACATTATAAGCAAAGCAGTTTTAAATCTTTTAGATCTATCAATATTATATAGATAAAGTCAATAATTATTAGATAAATCATACAATATTATAGCAGACTAAAAGAAAATAAAATAAATTATTATTATACGATCAAATATTTTAAGTCGTGACAAAAATTGTATAATGTGTATTTTGTGTGGTAAATTACGAATTCACCTAATTATTTTTAATTACAGAATGTAAATAAACGAACAAAGCATAAATTACCCGCGACCTTGTGTGATTTCCTTGTTTTTCAGAAGCCGAGTATTTTTGGATTTTTGTAAAATTAAGGCGCTTCATATAGGCAAACCGAATACATAATTGGAAATTTAAAATAGATTCATTAAAAAAAAAAAAAAAATTCTTAAAACTGATTAAAAACTTGTAGTAAAAACGAATGAATATAATATTTAATAAGACGTTCGTTTGAGTAAAATTATTCAGTATCACAACATACGAGCCGAGAGATTCAGTGTAAATGATGTCGCGTAGAATGTCTCAAAGATAATTAATATGACTAGAAACCGATTGAAATTATTCGAAACAAAACATCAATTAACTTTCGAATAACGTTTCTAACGATAACATCGTGTTATTCTTTCATAGAAGTTGACTGTTAATAAGATTTGTGTTCATGCACACCTGCCAGTTTGTTTGGTGACAATTATGCATTAAATTTAGGTACACGTTAAACGAACAATAATAACGTTTTCGTGTAACGTCACTCGCGTTGAAAAAATACTTGTTTTTGATTTCGTTCCAAACAGTTTACAATAATGAAATTTAGTGAGAACAAAAATTGTTTATGCGAGTGTTTATCCACAAAAATTGTTTTTTTTTTTATAAAAATTTAACGACTTACCTTTTTTCAGATTTTTGTTCGGATTAAAAGGACCTGACGACGTGTCCGCGGTCGAATTCCGGGTAGTATTCGGAGCAGACTAGAGTACAAGTGCATTAGATGTAAGATATGTACACTCGGACCGGGTTTGTATAGCACTTAGGTACGTACAAAGTGTACAGCATGTGGTTAAGCATGTACCGAGTGTATTCAACATGTATCGTTCAGGTCTTTCTCGGTACGAGAGGGGGAGAGTCCCGGGTGCGGAAGAGGGAGAAAACCTGAAGGTCAAGGGACTGCAGTGTAATACTTCAATGACTGAGTCATCAATGGTAACTTATCATGCCAAATGCCAATCCGCATCAAAAATGTCTTACCATGTTTCGATACTATTTATTGGCTATTTTGTGAAGTTTTAAGGTAGTAGATTTTTCAATATAATTAAAAATTTAATTTAATATTCCTTACTATTTATAAATATTGTTTTAAAAACTTGAATTAATTAATTTTAGGATGGCGACTAGTTGAAAACCAGTTATTAGTTTCGACGAGAGCACATTAATATTTGGCAAAAAGACAGGGTAGTCCAAGTATTATAATTTTTATGCGAATTTTCTCCTTCTATTACTCGTCGGTAATTCCCAAGGATGTTTTACAATTTCTACGCACAATTTAATCATTTTACGCGTATGAAAAATTATTTAAATCGTGAAACTATAGAATTATTTTAGAGTGTATAATTAAGTAGATACCTACATTTAACATCATATTGATGGTCCCGAAAATTTAATAAGTCAATTTTTTTTTAATGTGATTCAATTGGTATAAGTTTAATTAAAATATTAAAGGGGCGAAGAATATTCAAATGACTTTAATTTGCTTATCAATAGTACACGGAATTATGTATACTAGTACATTTTATTAAGTTATTTCGAACATACTGTAATACAAACATAGTACAAATTTTTATTGATTGATTTAAAAACTTAGCAATGTGTTGTTGCCGAGGTTGTATTTTCAGGAAATCAGTTGGTTCACCCCTCTAAAATGAAAAACAATTTTATGCTAAGTGATAATGCTTTTTCATAACCCACTTAATTACTCACAAAAAAAAATACAATACCGAAAAATAAATTAGATTTTTTTTTAGTTACATATATATCTTAATTTATCAGTTATTAATCGCCTTTTAGTATTTTAAAAAGTAATAAAAAGAATGATACAACATTCCTTTTAATTTATAAGGATGTTAACTTATTTTTTTAAAATGGTAATACATATTAACATAACATATTAAATAAGCTTATAAAATAGGAAATTATCTAATGACGGGTTGATAACAAACTTCTGAATCAATACTCTGAAAACTGTTATTTCATTAATTGTTATTATTTTAAATTAAATATTCTTATGCCATGATGAGTACAGACAATTAATGTCTAATGATAGAAATAGCCATATCCGCGCCTATCTCCCAGTCTACATTTTTAAAACGTTATAATATTTAAAATACTGGTCAAAAGGTCGACCTTTCATTTTAAATTAAATAATTGTTTATTTTATAAGCTAGTAAAATATGAAGATTGATTATAAAAAAAAATTGACATTTAAAAGTTAGATTGATGATGATTAAATTTATTTAATAGCTGATAAATAAAAAATTATATGAATCTAAAAAATAATTTTTTTTAATAATATATTTTTTTGACAGTAATTGAGTAGGATATAGTAAACGGATTATCTTGTACATTTCTATGACAATGTTGCACAAACTTCACAACGAACAATTCAAAGTGGCTCAAGTAAAACTTATAAATGCCAATATTTTACTATTCATATAATCATTAATTAATTTTTAGCAGGTATTAAAAGGTTTTGATAAATTAAAAAATAAATAATCAAACTTGATGCTCTCGGTTAATTAAGTGAAATTTATATTGTGAATTATAATTTATACGTGAAGCATGTGTAATTTACTTAAAGATTTTTAATAATTTTTTTGTGAGATACGGACAATATTTCAACTTTTCATATTTGAATACTAAGTAATGTGTGTTAATTAAGCTTTCAATGGTCACGTACACGTATGATTCTATTGTCAATTTTAACTCATTTAAAAAATGTACACAATACAAATATAAACATAAATTTTATTAGTTGAGGAAATTGTCCAGTTCTTTTAACAGTTTATTTTTATTTATTAGCTATTTATAATTTAAATTATAATGTATTTAAAAAGACGTCCAGACTTTACTGAGTGAAATTTAATTCTATTATCAATTTACTATTATGAGTGAAAAAAATATAGTAGAAAAAGACGTGTCCATTAAACCTTTAAGTAAGCTGATTTTTGTTTAATTCATGAATTATTTCATACAGTTAATTAAAATACACCTCAGTAAATATGCTTATAATAAAAAAGAAAGCGCTTTTTGTTTAAAATATAACAAAAAAACTTTAAAAATTATTTAAGTACCTTTATTAATTATAAACATTTAGTAACAATATATTATTTGAAACTACTAGTTTTTTAATTACTAACAAAATTAAAGTTTTTTTTAGAAACAACAGTTTAATTCAATCCGATTAAACGGGTTTGCTTAGTACTGGTTTAAACTACAGTTTTTTTAGTTTAGGAGTTTGAATTTCTTCGGTAAAAAATGTGACTATATAATAAATAAATTTGTTATAATTAAGTGCATACTTCAAAATTATGGACAATAAAATAAATTTCTACTTTAGAGTTTTTTTTTTTTTTAACAATCATTATACTATTACACTTATGGTAATTACATGAAACTGACATTTTGGTACAACTGAATTAAAACCATAACCACAGAGAAATATCAATCACAATACATTTAACTCCAAAAAATTAATTGTAATATCACGAGTTATTTATATAACATATGCATTATTATTATAGCTAATATCGTCTGTATTTTATTCCCCATAAACATTTTTAAATTAGTCCATATGTGATATTTCCACAAGTGTTGTGATATGAGTTTATTAGGAAACTTTCAATTATTAATGATAAAGTAAATAGATGAAGTGTAATGTGACAATAAGTTAATTATCTAAAATATATCATTATATAATAAAATTTAATGACTTAAAAATGCTTGATGTTAAGTCAAAATAGCAAATACGTTGTAATATTTTTATTTGTTTATTAATTGATTAATATAAATTATACAAATAGTATATTATTGGAAAAACAATTATTACTTTGGTATAATTACATTTTATTTAATCTAAAATCCAAACATTTTTAACACATTAAAAGGTATTTAATTTTTTTAAGTATCTTTTTCAGTAAATAAACAAAATGGTTACCTTAGAACTATGGATTTTGCACTTAACTTCCAAAATAATTCACCAACCATAGATTCAAGAACAAAATTTATCTTTATGCGTACCATGTTTTTACGTAATAATGATCACAATTACAAACTAAATATATCACAAATAATATTTTGGTTCATTATATAAAAATAAACGTGCTGAAAATTAAAAAAGAATGTACTTCACTATTTAACTTTCACACCTCTTTTTAGACTTATATTTTGTTCGCCTGATCTTAAAATCAAGCTTAATAATCTCGATAAACAGTTAACATCCATTTTTAAACACCTTACAATAACTGAAAAGATTTTCCCAAACATTATTGGCGTTGAATCCCAGTTATCATTATGATAACATTAAATAACCTTTTTATCTATTATGACTCAATAAGCTTTACGTTCAAAGAATTTGTTGATAGTACAATTATGTCACGTAACTATTATCGTTATGGCAATAGAAATGCATGTCTCTATACATTGCTACAGTGAATTGTATGTCGAGTGCCATTATTTTTTAGTAACACACAGAATCAGTTGATTTTAGGTGACCAACGAATTATCTCACATTTATTATAATTAATATACTGGCAATCCAAGAATTATTGGATTGTCCTTAAACAATATTATATTTAATATTTAATATAATATTTATAAGTGACAACTTTTAGTATAAAAAAAAAAAAAATTTTGAATAAAATTTTTTTTAAATAAAACCATTGTTCAAAAAAATGTCTCATCTAATAATTAAATTAAAAATTCTATTGTAATTAATTCAGCAAAAGGTTAATAATGTAAATATCTAAAATTATAACACAAATGTGAACACCAGTGATATTTGATGTATTGTAATATTCAAGTTTGCTGTATTCTCGAATATTCATTATAAAAGAAAAAACAAGAATCGAGTGAAATCATCAATAATCAAAAAATGTCTATATTTTAAAATTTAAAATAACTTTATTTTTAATTAATTTATGACTCGTAACAAATCACTTGCAACGTTACAAATAGTTATTTTATTATATAGTACACTACGCTAGTTTAATGTTTACAATTTAGATAAGTAATTGACATTTATGTAAACGGTTTAAATTAAACTGATTGGTTGTCATAATCACCTTTGATTATAATCTAAAATATTTATTAATAATCAATAGTTAATAATGTGCTAATATAAGTAAAAGTGTAACACGAAATAAATGGATGAAAATAATTAATGGTACTTATTTTACATAAAAAAAGAGTAAAATAACATATTCTATATTATTTACTTATAAGTTTTATTTATTTTATTTTTAGTCTTTTAAACATCATATTGACGGTTTTATATGTTAAGATAAAAAACTTAGCTACTTACATAGTAAACATACTCGAAATATATCTGATTACTTAAAGAATTGGAGTAGTGTATTTTGATTATATCCCACCATTTAAAATGTTTGGACTTACTACTGCCTATAATTGTAGTTAATTTTCAATAATCAATAATTAATGTTGTCTAAGAGAATAAATTAAATTTATCTGTAATTAAATAAGAGTTAACTTAACCGACTGGTAATCCATGTTGGAAAAACGCTTCTTCATCGCTAGTATTCAATTCAATTTTTATAATTTTATTAGTTCACACATCACGAAGACACTATCTTCTAAAATATACATTCATGCATTTGAGATTGTGGAAAAATGTACGATTATGGTTAAAAAATCAGTGCAATAGGGTCATGGTATAGTGGGGACGTGGCATAGTTGGAATAACTAAAGAAATCTGACAATGATTAACATGACAATCATAAAAATATTTTCACGCGAGTCTGTTAAATTTCACAATAATTTAAATTTCACTTAAATATTAAATGTTTATTAAATGATTTGTTTAATTGAAAGTAAAGTAATTTTTGGAACGAAGTTTCTTACGACCGGTTGGGTTTGGCTCAGAAAAATGCGAAACAAGTCGAGTAACGAAATTTTATAACGAAAAAACCTATGATTTGATATGGTATTTTTTTATTTAATTATTTTTCAATATATTTAATTTTATTTAATAATTTGAATCAATATTTTATCTTCCTTTTATTTTATGTTAAATTTTCCAAAGTACTGTGCTTCAAAATCAACAATCAAAATTTAATTAGAAAGCAAAAGAAACTACAATTTTAGCCGGAGGAATTTCGCTATAGCAAATGAAAAAAAAGTGGCGAATTATTACTGAAATTTTACGAATTTAGGATTTTAAGTCAAACAACTCAGAAATGTCGTGGAAACGTGTTTATTTTTTTTATCTTATGGAACTCTTTGAGATCTTTATAGATTTTGATTTCTTAGACGTCCCGGAATATTTTCAAAATTGAAAATAAAGCTATTTTTCTGTAAAAATAGCGACTTTTTTTATTTTGACGGCAAATTTCTCATAGTAGAACAATCGTGAGATGATATTTTTAATTTTGTAGTACTATTAAAAAGTTATAATTTGATTTAGTTTAAAAGTTGTCAGATATTCCGGAACATTTTTAAAAATTGAATTGAGAAAAAAATTTTTTCAAATCCTTCCTTTAATCTTGAATTTTCATTGGATTTGATTAGAGAGCATAACTTCAATAAATAATTATAGCAGTTTTGAATTGTGGATTGACATTAAGAGTTGCAAAAAAAATTCTCCACTGTATCAATACAACATTTATTTTTAGATTACAAAAAAATGAGGGTTGCTAAGCATTTTATAGTTTTATTGAATGTAGTGATGTTCAACTATAAAGATCAATACCAAAATAAATTATATAGAATAGTTTATATTTACTGTTTCTTAACGTTAGCCATTATAAATAACGTGTATACATATAAAAGCATTTAACATACAAAATATTATCGAACACACACGTTCATTATTTGAAGTCAATGAATAATTTTTGAGGCTCATACTCAAAAACTGATATGCCACTAAATTTTTTAAATTTTTTATAATTTAGTAAGATAAATTCGAAAAACTATTAAGATAACTAGTTGTTGCACATGATCCTCTAATTTATTTTGATGCACAAAATTAAGAAAAAAAAATGTAAAAGCAGTGATAGATCTTAATGGGGTGGAACATCCCTGTTCTTACAATTTCATAATTCAATCTATTTTATTTCTATTCGCCAAATTGATATATAGTAATAGACTTTTAAAAAAAATATAAATTGTATTCTTGTGTAGATTATTAAATCAGCAAATTTTGGCAGAACAGTGTACTTCAAAAATATATTACAGTTACCATCCAGTCTATAGAGTATTAAAATTAAAAATGCGTCATTTTTTTATTTTTTGTATTGTATTTTTATTTATATAATATATTATAAATAGTACTAAACTATGTACTCCATCACTTCGGAAGAAAAATACATTCAACTCAATATCTGAAAATAACTCAAAAACTGAATATCGATAAATATCGGTAAGCCACGTACAAGATAGACCGCCATTTAGAAATGCTTTTTAGTTCTGACGTTTAAGTGCTTGATTTTTAGTTATTACTTTACAAATGTGACTTATCTCCACTTGTGTAAACAAAACAAATTGTTTTTAGAGTTATATACACTAATGAGTATACTAGTATTATAGCTTATGTTTATTGTACTTAGTGATCATAAAATACAATCTTTAATTTCTAATTTTCAAATTACAAGTTTAATACGCTTGACCCTTACTATTATTTTAGTGTATAAAAAAATTACAAATGTTTCACTAAAAATTAAATATTCTTATTCCAAGTTGTCCGCAACAAACTACTTGCCGTTGCGCATATAAGGGAATCTACCTAATATATATAATTATGTAGTTAATAAGTTTTCTCTTTAATAATTAGTTACTTTATTTTACCTGTGTATATAAGTATGTCATTTCTTTTAGAAAAAGTCGTGGAAACTTACAAAGAAATATGTTATGCAAAAATCCTATTAATTTCATATGATTTGAACTTAGTAATAATAAATGATAAAAATTATAGCTGACATTCCAATAAGGTATAAGGGATGAACATAAAAAATACTTCATGACTGATAAATTGAAAAAAATATTGAAATAAAAGAAATCAATTAAATTTATGAATTTTTTTAAATAATTAAGTGAATCATCCTGTAGACAATAATATTCATTAAAAATACTATCTAATAATTTCATGAAAAAATGTTATACTCGTTTATGCATTATATTTGGTCAAGTTTAAAATAATTTGTATTCTTGTCCGTGAAGGTCTTATAGCATACATTTTTTCAAAATATCTGAAACCTTCCAAATATTTTGATGTTTCATATTGTAAAAAATTGATTTGCTTGTTTGCATGAGATTTTTAAATGAATATCCAGAACAAATCGTTTTAGTTGTGGTTAGGCGTTTGTGTAGAAAATGAACACGCCATGAAACTATGTTATTTTTTTATCATATCTTTTATATTGTCCAATAAAATATTAGTCTAAGATTGTAAAATTAATAACTATTAGTGTTTAGGTAAAATAAATATTTGACTTAGATCAATAAATCAGCAGAGTCGCGCAACTAAATTTATGTTTTGAGGGAACTAAATTATTTTTCTCCTTCGTCTCTGTGAAGTTTTGAGGGGTATACGGCGTATAAATAAGTTTTGATTTTGAAAATTAAAGTATATTATCTAAAAATACTACAAATACGAAATTATACGTTCTTATATATTCGTATAACTGTATTGAATATATAAACTTTATGTATTAAAATGCTTGTAACTCAATAAGTAATTATCCTAAAATTATTTCATTATTTTAATATTTCATTTATTTGAAGAAAAAAAAATGTTTTTCATGTTGTATCACAAATAGTTACACAAACATATTTATATTATTTATAACACTGAGACCCTCTAATGTTCGTTCAAACGATTAAATTTTTCTCAAATAATTGAAGATACGTGTAAAAAAAAACTATTTTCTGGACCGGTAAATATAGCGATGCGAATCGAATTTTTTTTAATAGTAGATCAAATACTCTTTAGTTTGTTGTTTTTGCTCCCCTAAAAAGTTAGGTATTGGTTAATAAGCTTCTTCAATTCTAAACCCTCGAATGTATATATGAAGTATACTTTTAGTAACAACTATTTATGTTTTTTTAATCATATTAGCATTATGGTCCTCATCGAAATGTAGTCCAGCAAACACATTAAAATTAAAATAAAGATTACTAAAGGGTAACATCAATAGTTCCATAAATAATTAAAACTAATTTTAAATTGCAAACCTTGATAGTCGAAATATTTATTGCACAGTAATTGTTCATTACATGATATATAGATAAATAAAATGGCCCTGATCACTTTTTTTATTTCGCGGAAGATTTTATTTTGTTTGTTTCAAAAAATATACCGCCTGTGTAGTCTATTAAAAATTTGTTCCTTCATTTAACTATTATAAAAAAATTCAAATTGTCAAATGACTCAAACTTTATGGTTTATAATCTTTTTATAAAACTATGTATCAAATGTAATACAGTTACAGAAACCGGAAATATTATTACCACTCGGTATCTATATTGTTATTGCCCTTGGTCGATGTTTGCGAAAAGAATAATTAAACATCGTGTGTGTTTATGTGATTGAAATACAATATATTTGAATATATGTTACAGAATTAAAGTCATAATAACAACCGTTGTATCCATAATCATATATGATCTTAGATTTCATTATACAATTTTAAATAAATAACGGACATAAATTACAAATATGTAAAGGAATTATTAACAATTTAGTTTTTTTTTATTTAATTGTTTATTTATTAATTAAATAATAATAATAATCATTTTTTAAGAAATTTTACATTTAATTTTGATTTATCCTGGAGGAATATAGAAAAAATATGTTCAACTAAAAAAAAAATATTGTTTTTATATGTAACAAGTAAAATCTTGGAAATCTGACATCCGTAATTACATCAATGATGTGTAGTGGAATGCAGTGTAATTATATACTTCTATTAGTTATGGAAATCTCTATATTCTCTATTTCTCCAATGACGGACGTCTGTGTAGAAAAACAAAATATATCATTTTTTTACAGGTCTCTTTACGAGTATAGGTGACGTTGGGCAGAATCCATCACGAGATTTTTTGATAAAAATATTTCTAGTCTATTATTTAAAAAAATTGAAATTTTATTAATAGATTTTGTAAAGTTTAATATATATTAGGTAATATTTAATAATTTATTGTTCTAAATTATATAATTTTGATTCTCTAAAAATGAGAGTTAGTTTGATTTTAGTGTATAAAAAAATTATTTTTACTGAAAAAAATTGAAAAAGGTTATTTATTTTTAAAATCACGAGTGAAAAGATTGAGATTTTTTATAACTAAGTCTATATTAAAATATAGTTTAGTTTACGACCCTTGAAAATTATAAAAATTATAATTATAATATTTTATTTTTTCAAGAATTTTTTATAATATGTACATTTTCTCAAAAATATTTTGTTCACATATGTAACTGATTGACCTAATGCCTCTATCTATAGTGAAATTATGTTTCAGTAAATAACCCTTCCTTGGTTATTATGATTATTTATATTATTACATTTTACTGTAATGAAATAAATTCAACTGTTCAATAGATGCTATCTAACGGTAATTTTTCTAACTATTATTTTTATCTGTACTGATATCGCCAAACCCCAGATATACTCTTTTATCATATATCCGGGGTGAAATCATTCTTCTCTATGATAAGAGATAATGAAAATTGTTTACTTTTAATATTTGTGAATCTAAAAATGATACCGTACATATTTTTTATTCATATTTGTATTAATCTTCAATTTTTTACTGTAAACTATGTTATTTAATTTTATGTATTATGGACATAAATAATTTTCGATTAATTGAGAATATTTAAATAACTGTTCATGTGTAAGTATTGTAGTAATTATTGATTGTAAATTTTCTTTTAAAGAAAACACGTTCCTCTGAATATCATGTGGGATATTATCATTTATGCATTCTCAATGCTCATCACTGGAGCATTGCTTTTTTTGATGGTGTATTCTGTATCCTTTAATAGACTATAAAGAATTATTTGTTTTGTTATGGTTAAACTATTTTTAAAGATCAAATAAGTTATATAAATTGTTACAAAGTTAACAAATAACATAATTTTATATGTTTATTACAAGAAAATAACCTTAATTATATATATATTTTATAAACATTTTTTTCTACAATTAAAATTTTTCATTTGCATACAAAATATAAATATATAAACATGTATAGCTGCAGTAATTATATCTTATTTTAAAGCAGGTTAATCATATATGTTTCCATTTAAAAAATAATAGTTTAAGCAATTTAAAGTGTGGTAGTACCAAATTTTTATTTGAAAATTATAGAATGTTGGATACAATAAACTTTTGAAAAAAAAGATTATATTATGTTTTATATTTTTAAAATCGTTGCGTGTGTCATAGTTAATAAATTATCCTGTATATATACATTTTAATGAATAAAAAAATAATGAGTGAATTTTCTTCACTGAATATCATTAAATTATAGATAATTACGCTATCAGATTTAGAATGTGATTATTTAAATGCTCAAGAATGCTGTTCCAGATTAAATTTTGTAAGTACAAAAAAATATTTAGTACTATATGCAGGGCTGTATTTAGAATTATTTAGGAACAAAAGCATTCTAAAAAATCCTTAAGGTCTAATATCAATAAAAAAAAGTGATATATACAAATATATCAAAAATTTTTTCTTATTTTCATATTTGTAGTTTGTTTTGATGCAATAATTAATGATTTTATTTCTTATAGTATCTTATATTTTTCTTTAAAACATCATTAGTAATGATGATTTTTATATTAGCTCATCTATCGATCAATGATTTTAGAAAGTGACAAGTTAACAATAAACATTTAAAAGGTATCCCTTAAAAACTTAGAAATCAAAAAATAGCAATAAAAAGTATGTAATTTTTTAGTTATAAAATCTGAGATACAGCTTAGGATATATATATTATAGTATTAATAATTAATGTTATAATTGCATACAATTTAATTTAGTTAATGTAATCGAGCTATTTAGAAGCTTTAATTGTTGACTTACTAATTTTTTTTCAGTGGGTGATACCAAAAATTGTAGCAGAAGTATTGTTAGTCTTAGGATTTTTATCAGATTTCAATTGGTGGTTGGTACTCGTAAATTTACCACCAGTTGGATGGTTAATACATGAGTATGTTATTACAAAATTAAATATTAATTTTAAAAATTATTTTTACATTACGTTCAATCTTGTGATAGTATAAAATTTTCTATATTAAATGATAAGTTCATTAATTTACTGGATATTTTATTGTTTAAATCAATAAAATAAAGAACTATAATTTTCAGAAATTATATTAGATATAAAATGTATTTTAAAGTTATTTGATAGATATTCTTATACAAGTACAAATATACAATAAACAGTTTTTACGTATCTTACTATTAAGTTTCCTACTCTAAAAATTATTCATAATCACTTTAATATTTTTATATAATTATATCTATATTAACAAAAGCATATAATTTTACATCAGATTAAAATTATATTATAAAATTAGTTTTTTGAAAAACTTTCTGTAATAATTTGTTATAATTATATGTTTAGATATATAACTGTTCCTAGAGGTAATACTGGATTATTTGATCCTACAGAAATTCATCACCGGGGTCAAATGCGTACTCATATGAGAAATTTTGTAATATTTACCGGTTGGTATCTGATCACATTTTTCTTTTATTTATACTTGTAAGTTCTATTTTATTTTTACTAGTATTGATACATTCACTTATAAATATATATAATAAATATTTTTTGGTATTTTTTTTTTTAGTATGATATTAACTGTACTGAAAGGCAATCCGTTGGAAACTGAAGATCCTATGCATGTTAATAAATTCTAGTCTAAGAGTGTCAAGTATTGAAGTTTAAAAACGATTTGTATTTTTACTATTTATTTAATTAATATTGAAGTTTTTAAGGTCATAGAATGTAAAACACCTTAGTAAATAATGTAATATTTCATTTATTATTTTTTAAATGTGTTACTGTGCCACACACTGTATAATTTTTATTTTTTTACAAATTAGTAATTTTTAACTTATTGTTTGAAAACGCTACGCAATAAGCTAGTCAATCAATTCAAATGATCAGTCATAAAAATTTCCAGTATTACTAAATTCATCAATGATTAAAAAGTTTTAGGTGTTTATTTTATCCTTTTTACTCATTAATTCAGACGACTTTTTGTCCAATATACCAGTTGTCCCTTTATCATCAATTGTTTTTGCAATTTTCACATCAAACCAACTCATCATCCACAAAAATCATCTAGCAAGGAGCTTGATGTGGATGTTACCTTTTATATTTGTATATATATAATTAAGATATATGAAAATTTCCAATTATACGATCCACATTTACTAATAAACCTAAAATTATAGCATACTATTTTTGAGTGGTTTTAAATATTCTATTTTTTATGATTATAAATTGTATTATATTATAAATAATGACAAATATAATGTAAAGTGTATGATACATACAAATGATTTATCAGAAGCTCTCAGTTATATCTTTAAGAAGTAATTCTATATAATATATAGGATTTTGTATATTTAAAAAAATGAATATTTGACATAACTGTGTAATATAATTATTTATAATATAAACGTTTCTAAATAAACTTTTTTGATCTTGAACATTTTCTACTTATAAAAATTTATTTTAATGTTTGTTATATAAGGTGTCCCACTAGGTTTTGACAACTTAAATAACTTTTATTTATATTTTATGTTAATTTTTTTAAATATTTTTCAACTGCATTAAAAGGATTATTTGTCTCAAATAAAAAAAATATTATAACGCTTTCCTCAATTTTTTTTAGAAATTTTAAAATAGTTATTTTTTTGCTCTTTTCTTATAAAAAATGTTGATGGATTCAAAAAAACTTAAATATAAATACTATTAAATTAAAAGTGGAAGTGTTATTTTATTTTATTTTTTGAAGGAAACAATATTTTTAGTGGGCTACTTGCTATATTTTCACATAATTCCATTTACAATTATACTCGTTTTTGAAAAATAAAGGGTAATTAATTTTTTTTTTCAATTTTCATGTTGCAAGTAAGAAATTTAAATGAATTTTGTTTATTTTCTTTAAATGTATATGATTTAAAAGAAAACTTTCATGTTTAGCTGAATAAAACAATTATATATATTAACATAAAGTTCATTATAAAATATATAGTTTATAATGTAGAAAACTACATCTTGGAAATATAGTGAACCAAAAGTAAGGTTTTAGTTGTGAATATAATAAATAAAATTGGGTGTGTTGATTAATTAATTTGAATTTTTGAGCACTTGAATAAAATCACTCATCTTACTTTTGGTTACTATAATTCAGTTTACTTAATATTATTGGGGTCGTGGAGTCCGAGGGTTTTAGAGAATGACAATACAATTTAATAAAGGGTTATGATAAATATTGAGATTTAATGTGTATATCAAATTTATTAACTTTGGTGGATCATTTGAATAGTCTCACGTTTCAAAGGCACGAGCTTAGGTCGGCAACTATGAAACGTAATAAGAAAATGCATAGGTACGATCTTTGGTCAAGCACTTCGAACGCATTTAATAATTCTCATGAAAAACCAGTTAATAAATTTAGTATGTGTAAAGATAAATTAATTACTATTGTTTTGTCATTTTCTTCTCGGATTAAATAATTCCAAATTATTGGAATTAAAATGTATCACCTACTTTATAATGTTTTACGGAATTGAAATGGATAAGACTGACAAGTTTTTCTTTCTGAATATTTGAGAGACTGGTGGTCTATTGCTTCATTTGACTCTAGGCTTGAGAAGTGGAATGTCTTATTTTATAGCTTTTTACGGCTTTTTATATGAAATCTATGATCTATTTATGTCACCAAAATGTAGGAATTGACCACCAGGGCTCTCATCTTTATTGAAACGAAAATTATAAGCAGGGAGAATACATTACATTGGTTGTGGGACATTTGATTTTTGTTAGGGATACTGTTACTTAATACATTGTCTTTGTAGATTAATTTACAGTGTTTACATTTATGATACATATATTAATTTTAAACTGAACAAGTACATACATTGTATTAATTACATTAGTGATTATGCTATGATATCAATTTAAGATAATTATTTTGTTTTGTGATAAACATTGCGAATAATATTAAATTTAAGCGATGAACGGTATCACAGAAATATCCTTTGCGTGTGTACCTGTCAACCATAAGATACTATACCAATTACCTATCGGTAACGTGTATGCAACTGGTGTAAAGGATAGTAAGCTGTGTATTGAAATAATATTTAATATATATTAATGAGGCTAACTGTGTCTGCGCCAGCCAAGGCTTTACGAGGAGAAACGCTAGGCCATCAAAGTCTTGTTGATTATATTTTGAACATATTATTATATTTAAAATTTGACAAGTTTAGAATGAGTTTTAAAAATATCGATGTCGACTATAAGGAATTCATCAGAGATATTATTAGTAAAAACATAGTATAATATGAAAAGAGTTTAAAAAGTATAAAAAAAAAATTTAATCATGATTGAAGTAGGTCCCATTATAGAGAGTCCTTTTTAAACCTAATATACACACAAAGCTAATTAATCGAAATAAATGAAGATCCTACAAATGATTGTAAACACTGAACCGAGATGTTATCTTATGATCAATTCAGACAACGACGAAAGGAAATGAAGGTAAGTGCGAATATTTATTTGAAGAGGAAGAGGAAGCGCCGCGATCGCCATCCAGTGGTAACACCGTAAATGCGATGCGACATGTATATGAACGAAATGGAAAAAAATTTGCTTCAATGAGCATATTTGATTGGCTGCGAGGAGGCATTTTATATCACAAAGTAAAGCAAAACGTACTGAGAAAAATGCTTTGGAAAAATCCACGAAAAAGTTTAGTTATACCGTTTTATGATTTTGCTGTAAGTCAAACCACGAAGAAACTATCAGAAAAATACTATTTTCCCATAATGAAACGATACATTTCTTAGCTTACGTCCAATATGTACTATGTACAAAATTTCTCGAGGAAAAAGCCCAAGAATTCTACACTCTATAACGCCTGGAGACGGGCTATTCCAGATTTTAACATAATTAACGTAGATCACATTAGACCATTCCCAGTGAGCAGTTAGGGTAAACAATGTGTATTTGTAATTATGAATAATTTGACTAAATTTGTCAAACTTTAAGCATCGAGATGCCTAAGTACAAATAAAGTAATTCAGCTCGACCAGTTTGCGCTTACTTTCAGTTCACCAAAGTGGTGACAAACTGATTCGCGGTCTCTCACCAATTTGTATAAATAATGGTATTCATCATCATGCTGTAGCCGTACGGCATCTCCACACCAATGGTCAATGTGGCCATTGGTGGAAAGTACGAATTTCACTGTATAGACGGTAAAATTAATATATAAAAAAAATTTTTTTTCTCCTCATTATTTTTATGCATGATAACATTATTTCTGGTCCTCTAAACGCGAAATTTACCATGGAAATAAATATACGTTCTTGAGCAACTGGTACTACATAATTTTGGCAGATAACTAATTACTTTCATTGATAGACAATCTAAAATAAAGCTGATTAACTTTTTTGATCAGATCTGTTATTATAAATTGTTTTTAAGGTAAATCACCACAAATTTGGCAAAAACAATCTGTTATTACCTAAAATTAAATACAATTTATTTAAGACAGTTTTAAATTTTGATCTTATATTTATTGATTTTGTTCTTAGAAAAATACATAAACTACATATAAAATACTTCAATTAAATACATAGAATATGGACTTAACGTAAAACTTAACAAAATATTTTATATAGAATATAAACAATTAACTAATTGATGTAAAGTCATAGCAAAAACTGCGTATGTGCATATTCTTTCTTTTACTATTCGCTTAACTCAAGTTGATATGTAAGAAAGTATTTTTACTTAATTCAATTTTAATGAATATTTGTATTAATTATTTCACACCCTATAGTGTATCAGGTATTTTTTAAGCGTATATGTGTTTGTGTAATAAAAAATAAATTAAGTTGAACATTTTTTTTTTGCGTTAATCAGAAAATATATATTACCAAGAATTATTTATGATTTTATACTTTGTATCATGTGGTAAAGTCATAAAGAGGTATGATTAGTACACTTATTAATTATCATCATTTAAGAAATAGAAATAAATTACATTTATTAATAAATATTTTTACAAAGATTTTTGCAGCTTTTAATTAATTAAAAATTAAAGCATTCATTAAATATATTAAAAGGAAGGAAGCTGCTTTTGCCAAAAAAAAATGTTCTATTAAATCAATGTTTTATGATAAAGGTTGGGTTCTCTCTAGACGAATTTTGTTGGTTTACGTGTCAAAAGAACACGAAATATTAATATTGTTGAACCTATAAATGCCAAAAATTTGATTTATTTCCTTCTATTTTTAAATTTGTTTAAAAATATACCATTATCACTAAAATCAGAAAAGGTTGAACGTGTAAACTCATTTTAAACACAAAATAGCTTATGATACGTCATCAATATATTTATATCTGAATAAAGTAAATTAAAACATATCATAAGATATAAAATATATCTATATCCGTTATTATAAATGATGTACAATATTAATAAAAAAGTAGAAAATTTAAAAGTTGACGTTTTTTAATCATTTACATTTCTAACACTGTATTTTAATTAGTTTTTTATTAAATTATGCATGTCTGTTTCACTAAGATGTTGATTAAAAACAATTATTTTAATTATATAATAAATGTAGCTGTGGTGATATTTTTATTACTAGTGAACCGTGGTGATACACTTAATACTGGATACAAGAATTATCAACGAAAATGTATCGCAAATGGTCAGCTTTTAAAATGTTCTTATTTACTATATGCTTTTAACTCTATGCAACTAGCTAGATTTGAAATTTATCACCCTAATTTTGAATTAAATAATGCATATTACTCATCATCAAGATTTATTAATGTTATAAAAAATATGATGTGTACGTTGTTTAGTTTTAAAGGCGTTGAATTAGGTTCTTTGTGGTTATTTAGCATTTACATAGGAACTATTAGTTACCATTCTAATAAACTCAAACTATCAAAATCTGTTCAGTATTTAAACACTTATCTTAAAGATACTCATGATTTTGTAATAGATGCATTAAAATGTGAGATATCAGCCATGGCATGTAATGTAGAAAAAAACCAATTCTATGTGCATGAAGATGAATTAAAACAATTAGAAAATCAATCGTTGAAAGATATATATA